CTCAGCGGGAAGCCTGCTTCTCCCTCTCCCACTCCCCCTGCTTGTGTTCCCTCTCTCGCTGTGTCTCTCTGTCACATAAATAAATAAAATATTTTTAAAAATAAATAAATAAATAAATAAAGTAAATATTGCAGTCAAACTATCTAGAATTGTCATGCAGCTGAGGCCTAAGTTAATAATTTGAATTTTGGAAAATTAAGTATTTGAAATTAATTTTGGATTTGCATCTTTTCTTTAAAGGTTATGGACATCATTATGTACTGCCTTGAAGGATCTTTAGTTAAAAAGAAAGGTCTTCAAGAATGTTTCCCAGCCATCTGCAGGTAAAGAAGCCTTCCACGGCACGCAAAATAAATAATTTTGAAAAATTTTTTAACAGGATGAGTTAGTAGTCTTGCCCAGTTAGAAAACCAGTTCTGAATTAATATCTGCTTACTTTCTGAAAACAATTTAGGCGGCTCATAGTCAAAAACACAGATATAATAGAACCATTTGAAATTAGGTCCTGATGAGATTTTCTGAAAACTTAAAAAAATGAGTAAGAGATAACATCTGTTGAGTATGTGTGTGTTCTTGTATTCATCACTCAAATTAGCATTTACATTACAAAAGGAAGAGTTTAGGAAGCTTCTTTCTGACTTAGGAGAGAAGGTATATTTTTCAGCCAGGGGAACCTTTCTACCACATTTTCACTGGTAAATTTTATTTTTACTATAAAGGTAGCATTTTTCATTTTGTCCTACTAGTATCGTGTTTTCCCTATGAGAAAACTGGCCAAGAGCAGTTAGGACTGACATAAATAATGTTGCATATGTTGAACATAACCAGTAATTTTAGACGTATATAGCATTTCATTGTTAGGAAATGAAGGTTTTTTGAATGTAGTAGTGTTTATTTTCCCTTGAAAATAGTTTTTGGTTCTTAAAATGTTTATAGCTTGTGTACATTTTGTTAAAAATTTTTTTTACCTCCAAATGGTCAGTAGAAATAGTGCTTAAATCTGTGAAAATTATTGTTTTTGTAGAAAACAGAACCAACAGTTAGTAATAGTTACTAACATTTTTCTTTTTAGACACATTCATCGATCTTCTGTTTGTTCGGTTCTGTGTGCATACAGTAGTAAAAAGCTTTATTTTAGACTGTAAGTTTCCTGAGAGAGGTGACGTTATGTGACACATCATTACAACTTCTGTATCTCCTGGCATTTGAATAAGTATTTGCTGAATTAATTGTACTCCATGAGTCTTCCAGGGTCTTTTTTCATATTTATAATAGACTTTGTTATCGTAACCCCTTCCTTTTGCTGTTGCTGAGTCATGCCACCCAGAAATTAAAACCAAAAGGAAAAGATTGTGCTGGAATATACATGTGTACAGATGCATATTTTCTTGTGGTACAGATTAGGTGTGTTAGAATGCAGGCATTTTTAAACATCATGCCACATTAATTCTGGTTTGTGTTCTTTTTGTTAGAAGTTGTATGTATAAAATCTTTTCATGCAGTTAACTGATCAGAGTACATGTAGCTGCTATAGTCCCATTCAGTCGTTCTCTAAGGAAATGCCTATGCGAAAATGGACCCTGGGATGTCTCTTTATAGAGGTGATGATCATTGTAGAGCTGAGTGTTAGAGTGTTAGCAAGTGTTAGCAAAGGATTCCTTATAGCACCAGTCTTGGCGATGTAAAATAAGCCTCCCGAAGTTAACATGAGGAAATTGTCCAGTTTTTCAAGGGCCTGTCTTTGCCCTTGCTGGAAGCCTGCCTGCCCGGCAAGCAGCACCCTCAGTTCCTTAGGTCACCCTAGTTTGCTGGTGTCCTCTTTTGTTTGCTGGTGTTTCTTTGCCAGAGAGTAAGGATTCTGCTGGGATGCTAAGAGGCATACTCAGTACCAGGTTATTCTGATTTGGCAGAAAGCAATCGTATTTTGTTTATTAATTTAATAACATCTATTGAACACCTACTGTGTGTCAAGTACTAACGAGGCCCTGGGGATACAATGATGAATAACATGATTTCCTCAGGGAGCACACAGGGTCTAATAGGGTAGGTGATTATTAAGAATGATAATTCCAGGGTGCTGTGTTATGTGCCAGAGTAGAATTACATACCAGAGACAAGGTTGGGCAATAAATGGCAGTGCTTAACTCTAGGTAGAGGGGGCTTAGAAAGTTTCACAAAGGAGAAGTAGAATAATAATAATAACAATAATAATAATAATAATGGAATCTTAGTTAAACAAAAGAGAAGGCAGACAAATAATAATCTCCTTTTATTAAAGGAGAAACATGTTTTAATAAGAGTGACTGCCAAGTGGAGAGAAGGATTTGTCCCCCACAAGGGTTTGGGTTGGTGGTGGTAGGAGTGGCGATGGGTTCTGGGAAAGCCTCACAGAAAAGTTAATGAAGCTAGCTTTGCAGAATGAACCAGTGTGTGCCATCTGGAATTGCAGAAAGAACCAGATCAGTAAATGTCTAGAGACATAAAAGTATATAGTGACTTTGGCAAATTCTCTGTGGTAGTGGCCAGAATGCAGGTTGAGGGTAGAAGTCTTATTATGGTGCCAGAGAATGGGGCTTTGAATTCCATACAAAGGAATTTGGCCATTATTCTGTAAGCAGTGGCAAATCAGCAGAGTTTAAACAAAAGCATGTAGTTCTTGGGCCAGAACATAGTTGATAAGACCTAATCTTATGAAACTTCAGACTTATAACAAACAGTTGTTAACTATGAAATTAGGTTAGATAATATAGCTGTGGGTATAGAAGCCACAAAGACCCGTTTATGTGAAAGCCCATAAACATCAAAAGGCGATTAGCAATGTAAGGTTGTTGCGTATGCTAAATGTTAGTTGGAATAGGCAATAAGTTACGGAGGACTTCAGAGAACATTAAGCTTAGCTAGGGCCTCAGAAATTTTACTGGTCGATGCCACGCTACCTACTAGCTGATTTATACTAGGTTGATAAATGCACAACAAAGATATCAACATAGCAACAGAAATTAAAATTCTTTTATTGAATCTCTGCTGTGTCTGTGCCATTGTTCTGGGTGCCTTACAGCACCTGTGAGCCCCCTACCCTATTTGTAAATGCTTTTCACTAAATATGAAACTCCAATCAAAGTCAATGAAGTGAATATCTGTGGTCCAGTCATGTGGCATTTGTTTTTACAATCTTTATATAATGTTGTAGTCTTTTTTTGTTAATTTTTCTTTTCTTTCCTTTACCATATTTTATTATTTTATTATTTTTATTTTTTCCTTTACCCTATTTTAAAGATGCTATGGGTTTTAGCTTAGGCTAAGCTCTGTAATGTTGCTGTATACCAATATCCAGTTGTTATGGTCGGTAGATCAGATCATAAAAAGGTGTTAAAAAACTTCATTAAGTATTTTTTAAATGAAATATTCTTTTTAAATGAAGTATTCATTTAATGAAGTATTCATTTAAGTGAAATATTAAATGAAGAATGCTCAGGATTTAGATATTCAGAGAATGTTAGTTTCCTGTGGGTCTCCCTGTCTTAATAATGTGAAAAACCAAAATGTATATAAGAAATTACTTAATAAAGATTTTAAAGTATTTTATATGCATACAGACTACAGAATGGCATTAGTATTTTCATATATGTAAAAAAAAATTGGTTTACTTCCCAAAATATTACATAATTTTTAGTCAATGTTATAAAGGTGGATATTCACATCTAAAGTTGTATTTAACTCAGTTAGGAGTTAATCTGGTATCCCAAAGTCATCGAATATTTAAAAATCAAAAGTACTCTGACTTGGGTTATACATAAAATTCAGAGTTTTCTGTGAGTACCAAGACGAAGTAGCATCATTGAATACTGAATAATCCTGAGGTTGGGTCTCTTGGTTTTTTGTTTTGTTTAATTTTTTAACCTTGACCAGTGGGCTTATGATTCTGATATGCATCTATGTTTTGAATGTTCAGTTCAGGATTTTAAAACTTTAATGAACATTAACATTTTAACATTAAATTGGTAGTTTGTCTAAGCTTTCCTTTATTGTTGGAAATTTGACAGCTATTTCTCAGATTGCATGTTACAGTAAAATTTCCATTTTACTATTACGAAAGTCTTGGGTTTTGACTTAGGCTGATTTCTGTGTATTGTTATATACCAAGAGTCAATTTTATTCAGGTTTTATTATTTATTCTTTTATCTATTCAGGTTTATTTCACAATTATATGACTCCGTATGTAATTTGAGTGGTGAATTCATCTACTCAATTATACTGTTAACTGAATTTGTCCTCTGACATCTTTTTTTATTTTTAAAGATTTTATTTATTTATTTGACAGAGAGAGACACAGCGAGAGAGGGAACACAAGTGGAGGGAGTGGGAGAGGGAGAAGCAGGTTTCCTGCTGAGCAGGGGGCCTGATGCGGGGCTCGATCCCAGAACCCTGGATTCATGACCCGAGCTGAAAGCAAATGCTTAATGACTGAGCCACCCAGGCACCCCTGTCCTCTGACATCTTTATTCAAAACATATTTAAAGTTTAAGCTACAAATTGTAAATTCTTTGAAAGAAAAAAGGAGTAATACAAGAAGTTTGATTTATCTAATTTGGTTTATATAATAGCTTTTCTATCAATTTTTTAAACTTCTTTTAGTATCTTCTGCTTGAAAGTAGAAATGCATTAGGACACATGCCAGTAAAATTTGGTAGACATTCTTACTTACCACTGACCAAAGCTCACTTGCTGATATTAAAACCTGAGGTTACAGCAAAGCATTAATCCATAATTAGCTGGGGTAAGCCGTAAGTTTGGGTCTAAACTTAGCAGCTAGCATGCAAAGAGGCACAGACCATCAATACCTAAGTCACAGTGTTCATATGGTAGAACAGTTCAAAACAAATATTCCTGTTTATAAGCCTGAGATCCACATGCAGTTGAGAGTCCTCATATAAAAGACATAAAATATGTATGTAGTTTATAGACCTTGTAGTTTAAGAGGTTTTGTGACTCTCAAGAATGTGTTAGAAGGATGCTCACACAACTGAATATTAAACAAAGTACAGCCATCACTTACTAGTTGAGAGAACTAAGGACACAGATGAGAAGGCGAAGTTTAAAAACTGGTATTGAGAGCTCACTCCCAGTTAGGCCCTGTGGGGAATAATGATCTCCAAGTGCAGTTCCTAGACCATCTTCAAGAGAATTACCTGATTTCTAGGCTCCACCGGAGAGACACTACCTCAGACTATTACGAAGCCTGGAAACCTGCATTTAGCAGCCTCCCCTGATGATTCTTAAGTACAGTAAAGTTTGAAAATGAGTACTCTAATAATCCAAAACC